AATTTGAATATCAAGCAAATTTTTTTTCCTCCCCTCTCTCTCTCTTTCTAATTCTCTTTCCTTCTTTCTCTTTGGAATATTACGAATGTACCAACGTTATAATTCAAGCCTCACGGAAACTCAATTACGATCGTTATCGTCGCATCTTCCTTCATACGAAGGAGGCTCGCTATCGGCGATCAGGATTCTCGACCGCAATTTTGGGGTTAATAACGAGAGAAGGAATGAGAGGGAGAAAGAAAGAGAGAGAGAGAGAAAGGAAGAGGAGAAGAGGCAGCCTGCGACAGACGGCGTACGATCGTAGATGCCAGGTGCAAGCGGTTAGGATTCGTTGTACGTACGTGCTCATTAATGGCTTCGCTGCTCTTACACGATTTACTCTTTCAAATTAAGATCGCATTATCGGTCTTACTTCCTCTTTCACTTTTATTCTTTTGTTTATATTTCTTTTTTTTTCACTTTCTCCCTCTCTCTTTTCCTTTCCTTTTTTTTTTTTTCTTTTAACCAACAACAACGACGGACGACCACTATTCTCTTATCCGATGCAACCAAATTTGCATCTTTTTGATCGATCGTAAGAAAGGAAGAAAAAAGTTTCTCCCTATGCTTAATTAACAATCAGTAGTAGTAGTAGTAGTAGTAGTGGTAGTAGTAGAACGATCGTGAAAGAAGAATTTTTACTTCGAGGCTGACAGGTAGAAAATTTCGATCGTTCTAGGAAAGAAACTAGACGGGTGATAACGATTCGATGGCCGCGACGAGCTCGTAAAACGTTCCAATTCCATTCGTACGCCTATCGACCGAAAGAATAATCCTCCCTGTCCCTATCGATATCCTGAATTTTTTACGCTCGTCTGCCGTTCGATCTATACATGTATTATATACATTTATATATATATATATTATATACAAGTACAGGTGTGCGCACACGTGTGTGGTGGACCGATTCGATGGAAACCGAGTAATTCTCGTCGGTGATTCTTGTTTCTGTTTCTGTCTCTCTCTCTCTCTCTCACACACACACACACTCACTCACAAGTTCCCTTCCTCTATTTCTAGCTCTATCATTCTTTATCGAGTATCCTTCGAAACGACGCCGATGGCTACATCGAACGATGCTCTTTCGCGGTGAAAATCGATCGTCGTCCACAACGTCGATACGTTTCTCTTCGATTGAAATGCCTAGTCGAGACGACTCCTCTGTTCTCTTCAACCTTTTCCACCCTCTCCTACTTTACCACCTTCTCCTCCTTCTACTCGACTATACTTGGGGGGGGGGGGGAAACTTTGGTAGGAACAATTGCGAGAGCGCGAACTCAAAACGCGTTCGAGAAAACTTTGCTTTTACTTTCGGCGCGTGCCGAGACGACGACGAACCACCACCACCACCATCACCACCATCATTATCAACACCATCATCGGTCGACGAGGAGGAGGAGGAGGAGAGTTTAATAGCTGTTCGAAGCTGCAAAAATTGTCGCTAAGATGTTCAACCCTAAAGTATTTCTAGAAAATCTTGGGCTATGTTATGCTGTTCCCCTATTCTTTTCGATGATCGTTCAGAAATTCTCTATTCTCTCGAGAACGAATGAGACATTTTCTTTTTTATATATTATACAAATTTAATCCGAGTCATTCCTTATAATTTCATTTACGCGTCGTAGTGCACTCAATTTTGTTGGAACACAGCAGCAACAGTAGCAGCGTGTTATCTTCAATCCGCGTCATTTAATGTATTTAATAAAGAAAAGGAGAAGGGGGAGTGAGATAGAGAGAGACAAAAAAAATGATTGCAATTAATGGGATAGTTAAAAAAAAAAGAAAAAAAAGTTTCGTTTAAAAGACTAGCTAAGTATTTTCTCGCTAACGTACGTACCCTCCAACTTGTCACTCTGTGTATGTATGCGTGCGTATGTGTACGTATGCGTGTCTCTATGGAAAAAGTGTGTGAAAGAGAAAAAGAGAGAAAGTGTACGAATACATATAAAAGAAGAGATCGTAGAAGTCGCTCGATCAGCATTTTCCTCGGTCGAAAGCTGTAGCCCGTTAACAGGCTCGTTCGATTAATGGGTCAAGTATGTATGATCCGTCGTTCGTTCTTTCGTTCATTCGTTCATTCGTTCGTTCATGTGGCCAACAGTGAAAATATTTCTGGCTGTCCGAGGGGTTAATCAGTAGATTAGGCAGTCGGGGGGTGCTGGTAACTCGTCGGAGTAGATAATCGCTTTCGATACCGGGTGACAATAATCTGGGAGGAGGAGGAGAAGTAGGTTCGCGGTTTAAGGGTGCCAGGGTACTTTTACTTCTTTCGAAGGTTTACTTTTTCTATCTTTCGCGTAGTCAATCGATTCCCTCTCGTGCAGCAGACTCTCTCTCTTTCTCTCTTTTTTTTTTCCTCGTTTTGCAGACATGCAAATGGGATACGAGACGGCATCGTTCTCTATATGCCACTGGGCCATTTCGTTCCTGAGAGACCAGCACGAAAAGAGAGCAAAAGAAAAAAATAATAAGGAGAGAGAGAGAGAGAGAGTGAGAGAGAGGAAAGTAGGATTGAGAACCCTTGCTCGAGCGTGTTAATGAATGATATTTTTTTCATTCAACCGCACCCTGGCCTACATTTCAAACAGAGCTCTCCGGCGTGCCAGTGCCGCCGCCTCCGCTTTCCGATACGCAGTGGCTCGTAAAAATGACTGTGGAGGAGGCAAAGGGGGAGGAGGAGGAGGAGGAGGGGTTGTGCCGGTGGTGGATGGTGGAGAGCGGCCTGGAACACCAGCATAAGGGGGTGGCTTGGAGGTGGTGGTGGTGTTGGTGGTGGTTAAAAGGGGACTGGTGGAGGAGGAAGCTGAGGAGGAATATAGCTTTACTGGCTTCTGGGCCAACGGAAGAGCTTCGGGATAAAAGCCGAAGAGAGAAACTACCGTTGGAAGTAGGGGGTGGAGTAGTGAGGGGGGTGGGAGGGAGAAGTGGGTGGAGGACGGTCTGCAAATTTTATTCGACCATCCACAATTTTCTCGTTAAAGTTTACCGCCCGGTGCCATCGCCGACGGGGGTCGTCGACTTTTCCTTTTTCTTTCTCTCTCTCTCTCTCTCTCTCTCTCTCTCTCTCTTTTTCTCTTATTGACTTATTTACTTGGCCCAAAGAGAGAGAGAGAGAAAGATACCCGCACGAGTGTGTGTATCATAACACATACGACGAATCGTGTCGAGCGATTAACCAATTGCCACTTCCATGGACCATTTAACGGAAGGGATGAGATAAGGACGGGGACGGAAGGAAGAAGAAGGAAGGCAGCAGTGCCGACGAGTGCTGGGGAAATTAGGGACGTTCGCGACAACCAGTTGATTCTTGCTTTGTTGTTCCTTCCTTCCTTCCTTTCTACCTATCTACCTACCCACCCTCTCACTCTCTCTCTCTCTCTTACCTTTATCGTCGATTACGCGTTTATCCTTGTTTGAAAGAGAAAAACAGAGAGAGAGAGAGAGTTGGATAGAAAGAAAAAAGAAATAAAGATTATCGATCGTTTACCACCACCAAACAACCACACGCGTCATTTACGTTTCTTATAATGAAACTTTTGATAAGAAATAATATAGATATCTTTTTTTTTTTTTTTTTTAAACCTGAGGAAAAAGAAAAAAAGGACCAATGAGAATACCACCGGTAGTTATACTCGTTTGAGATCATTAGATAAGTTTTTACCTTACTCCAATCATTTAAAACTTGACGTTTTACGATATAGACACCACACATAAACATTTTATTTTTTAATTACACGAGAAAGCAGCGTTACTTTCTGCGTTGAAGTAACGTCGAAAAATACTACGACCCTTGGCGAAATTTAGGGATAGAATTTTAAAAGGTGTATAAGAAAGTGGTATAGAAACTAAGGAGGAGTGAAAAAGGGGTAGGGGAGGAGGGGAAGGAGGAAGAAGAAGAGATAGGTGGAAGAGAAAGAGGGTTTTGCTTTACGAAGCGATAAGCGGGGACGACGTAAGCTCGTTCGAGGCACATAACAGGGTCGTTAAAATAACGATAATGTTTCGATATGAGTGGCGGGGCAGAACCGAGGACGAATGGTACGTCAAAATTAACGACTAACGCGTGCACTGTCGTTGGTGTCCCCCAATTCTTCTTCATACCCGACGACATGATGTATTATAATATATTTATCGAGGTATTTCTTTTTTTTTTCTTTTTTATTTTTTTCTTAATTATTGCCCATTTCCGCGAACGGAAACGTCCCTTCATTCGTTTACACTTTTAACTACTCTTATTTTCTCTTACGATCAAAAATGGTCTAACCCGATAAGAAGGAACACAATAAAAAAGGAAACAAGAAAAAAAAGTAAATTAGGGGGTGGGAGAGTTAATAAAACTTACGTGTATGATGGGGGGTCATGCGAGGATACTCGACAAAACTCGCGGTAGGTAGGAGGTACAGGTTCTTCTTTCCCCAACACCCCCTCCCCCTTCCCCCTGTTTTTATGACGTTACTTCTTCGAACTTGTATATCGTTTCCTGGCTCGATTCTTTCAATTGCTTTTCAGAGAAGCCAACTTATAATCGTTATCTCTGTTATCCACGCATGTCTCATTTTTTTTTTACCCGAGTCAAGATCATTGTGTGTACACGGTGACGTTATATTGCGTTCATGGAAAATCAGTTATTCTTGGAATAAATAAGAACGAAAAATTGATATGTACAGTTTTATATTTCTTTTTTTCTTTTTCATTATTATTATTATTATTATTATTATTATTATTATTATTATTATTTAAATGCATTAATATTTTTGCTCGTTACGTAAAAATGTACTCTTCGACGATATTGCGAAACAAAATGATAAAGGAAAGTAAAGAAAAAAACAATATAAAAAAAAAAAAAAGAATAAAAATGTTAACGAGATAATGATCGTTGTGCAACAACATCAACAACAACTATCATCAACTATTTATCGATCGATGTTTGATCTATCTTCGTCTTATGTGTATGATTTCAGTGAGCGGTCGGACGGGGACCGGAGGGGCGCCCTTGTACGGGCGATTGGTCGCCGAGGAGCCCATGCCCCCGACGGTATGCGGCGGGGGTGGTGGCGGAGGTGGTGGGGGTGCCGGTGGGGTTCAGCAGGAGACAGCCACGGACATCCACGCCATGCAGGCCAGGATACCCCACAGATTCCGCGATCCAGCGACGGCACCCCTAAGGAAACTCAGTGTCGATCTTATCAAAACCTACAAGCACATCAACGAGGTAAAAATGACATTTGAACATTTGTCTTATTATTTAATCGTAATATAAATAAACCACGAATAATACGTTTCTCGGATATATTCGAGAGAGAGAAAAAAAGGAACACGTGAAAAATAATAAATAAGACATAAAAAACCATCGTAAAATATTATTTGTCTATCTTGACATTTGTAAATTTATGAAAGAGTCACTTAAGGAGCTATTTTTTTCTTTTTGAAAGGGGTAGTAGTGGGAAAGGGGAAGGAAATAAATTATATATACTACTAGAACATTATTATTATTATTATTTTTCTTCTTGTTAGAAATAAACTGCTAGTTTGGTATGTCCTATCTTGTAAGCCTTGTAATAATCTTCTCAGTAAAGTATCATTCTCTTTTTCTCTCTCTCTCTCTCTCTCTTCATATGAGGACAACGAGAGGGAAAGAGTAAGTTTTCGTCGGGAAAAGAATTACGGATATCCTTTCGTTCGTAGGATATTGCTCCGCGAAACGTTTGGAACGAAAACCCCTTCTCTTCGGGGGTGGGGTAGGGAGGGGAGAGGAAGGGAAGGGAAGGTTTTAAGCCCACCTACGTGAAACACGAGATCTGTTCATAGGACACTCCTACGCGTCCGTAATCGTTCCGAAACTCTCTCTTCGGACCGTATCGAAATATAAGAAGTTAAACGTGTGACGTTCGGGTCTCGTGGAATCGACGAGCGTCATTATGGAAATGCGAGACTTGCCAATAGTACATAGATAAAGAGAAGGGTGGGGGAATGAGGAAGGAGTACAACTTATAATTTTTAAATCGATTTTGATATTTGATCTGTTATTCCGAATGAAATTGAAATTCGTATTATTTCTTAATTTTCATTCTTATCTATTCTCTTCTCTCGAATCAATTTTTTTATTTACTTTCCAAATTGTACTATTACGCCTATGAAATATAAATCTAGAAACCAACAATCATGTAATATCCGGTCACCTGCACGATAAAGAAAAATTATGCATAATTCTTATCGATAAAGCTACTGAATACTCGCCAGTTGATAATTGTCGTGTCGTCATAGTCATAGTCGTAAAACATATGCGTCGTTTCGTCGAATTCGATACGAGAAAGTCGATAGGATGAGTTATAGTAGTAGTAGTAATAATAGTACTAGTAGTAGTAGTAGTAGTAGGAGTAGGGAACCTGTAAGAGATTATGCTCGTCTTCCGCGAAATACGACTCTTAAAGCTTTTCTTCGATAAAAATTGGAAAAGACTCGCCAAGCTCGTTAGAGGCTCGAACGAAAGGACGAACAGGAGGATAAGGGTGGGGAGGGGGAGGGGAAACTGGATGAGAAGAAGAAGCTCGTGAAAAATTGGTCGAAGGTGGACGACTCGTTACGGTCCCATTCACAATAAAAAACGGAGAGAGAGAGAGAGAGAGAGAGAGAGAGAGAGAGAAAGAGAAAGAGATAGAAAAAGAAAAAGAATGAAAGAAAGGAAAAAAAGAGAATAAGTCGCGTCGAGGAACGTAGTAAAGGAGGAGGAAGAGGAGGAGGGTCCGAATTGAACTATTAATAACGCCGATGGTGGAATAAGCATCAACGAGACTGACTGACGAGCTCGCGCTTATTTGCCACCCGATTTCTTCACCTTTTCTTTTTTTCTTTTTTCTCTTTCTTACTTTATATATGCATGTATATATATATATATATGTATCTATAGTTACTTGGGATTATTAGCATCAACGAATTCCCCCCTTAGAATAAGAAGAAGAAGAAGAGATACTTCTTTTACGCTGAGCACTAACTTTTCTCACGGATGTGAATATACGTTTTGAAAAATGTGCTATCCAGCATTTTCATTCTTCTTCTTCTTCTTTTTCTTATATTTTTTTTTTCTATCTATCTATCTATCTATCTATCTATCTATCTATCTATCTATCTATCTATCTATCTATCCTTTTCTTATTATTATTCTTTAGTCGATCGATAGAAGAGTATGCGCGCTCATCCATTCATATGCTTTCTTTTCCCGTTAAAGAAGTGTGTTCGTAGGGACAATGATCGTAATAGCGTGGTTCGTAAAAGAAGAAGATGTATGTATCGGTGGTTGTGGTGGTGGTGTTACCTTGACATTGCACATTTTCTTCATTACATACATTCTTTAACTGCTAATATATCGACGTAGGATCAAGAAATTGTACACGGTGAAACGCGCAGCAAATTTAAAACAATGACGCACATATTAACCTTTCGATCATCATCGTCATCATCATCATCCTGTTGCTTCTTATTTGTTGTGTGTGGGGGGAAGGGGGGTTGCAGTTTAATGACGTCATGTTTTCTAGTGACGCAGACAATACCACTAACGTCGTTGTGGCACGATATAAAATGCAATAAAAATTGTAATCGAACGAGAAAAATGTCATGACAACAACTAATTTAATAGCCAATAAAACAATTTCACCCACGCAAATTAGATAAAGAGGGAAAAGAAGTACAAGTTTGCGAAAGAGAAAAGGGCTGTTGTTGTTATACTATCAGGAGAATCGTAAAAAAGAAAAGAAGAAAAGAAATCAAAAAATACGAAATTATTTAAAAAGAGAGAGATAGAGAGAGAGAGAGAGAATCAGAGTATACGTGGGTTTCTTTCATGAGGAAACAAAAAAAAAAGTAGACAAAGATAAAGATAGTGATATTGCCTTATGATATATAAACAGCTGTTGAGCTCATGGTCGAAGCACGCGGGACGAGTATTACTACTCCTCTCCTACATCCATCTGGAACTTTTATCTTGAGCTCTCGATCAATGATTTATCGTCGTATCTCCTCCTCCTCCTCCTCCTCCTCCTCTTTCCTCCTTTAAAAATTTCTTATCATCATAAAGAAACGTGTGAAAATTTATTAAAGAAAATATTCAACAACGCAATACCAAGGTGAATTTATTTATCATCGAATTCTGACGATCCTTTTATTTCTTTCTTTTTTTCTTATATTTCTTCCAACAAAAACAACAACAACAACAACAACAGCAATAGCAACAAGTTTAAATCTTTTCGTATTATCGTACGAAGTAACTCTTTTCACGTGGGTCGCGTTGTAAAGTAAAGGCTACGAGCATATAAGGAAAAGGTAACGTCTTACGTGCCTTTCGAAATCCCAGTGACAGCGGATTCGCTTGGCAACCGAAGCCGAACCATACGTTCGAGAGACGGCATTAACACTTCTGCTGGAGTGTGCACCGTAGTAACCGGTGGCACGAGAGAAAAGAAAAAGAAAGGAGGACGACGACGACGACGACGACATGGATGAAGAGGGGGAGGAGGAGGAGGAAGAAAGAAGAAGAAGAACAACAACAAGTAAGAAAAAGAAGAGGAAGAGGAGGAGGAAGAGGAGGAGAGGGTGTTGAAGCTCTCGTAGCTGCTCCATTGGTACATTCCTATGCAACGGTAGAGACCGACCGGGAACGGCGTGCTAAGGGGTACGGGTGGTGGTGGGGGACGAGGGGGGTGGGTGGAGAGAGGTCTCGGGAATTCTGCATATCCGTTGGAGATGCAGCTCGGCTAACTATGCGCTTAGGTGGCAACCGTGTCCGAGACTGCCTTGACTACTTCGAACTCTTCCGAAGTAATACTTAACTATACCTTTTCGAAAGGAGATACTTTTTTTTTTCTTTTCTTTTCTTTCTTTTTAACGAATTAAGAGAAATGAAAACAATGCAAACGACGAGATATAAATGAATCGACGGATGAGAATTTCACAAAACGTTTATAATTTATGTTTGAGTATTTATTATTTACACGTTTTTTTTTTTTTTTTTTGTGAAAAAATGATTGATCATACAGAAGAGAGAGAGTTGAGATACATGGGGAAGAAGAAAAAAGGAAGAAGAAGATCATTTATGACCCAGTAAGCGTAAATGGGTTAAGAAAAGTTTCGAGCTATCCTTCCACTGAGTTTTCCGAGATTTTCTAACTTTCAACGAATTTTCTCTCTCTCTTTCTCTCTTTGTTTGTTTCTCTCGTTGTTTCTCTTTCTTACTCTTTAGTTTACGATTAATTAGATGCAATTTACATAAATCATACGTTCGAAAGGGCGAATTTTAAAGGAGAGGGGAAAGTAGTGGGTTTGGGGGAGAAAGAGCCGCGTTAAATAGGAGAGAAGGGAATCGCGTGCTTTCGAAAATAAAATTCGTGGAGTGAGATAGCTAGAAAAGGAGTGAAGTAGAGGAGAGGAATAGAGAGAAAGAGAGAGAGAAGAGAGAAAAGTTCGATCGTATTCTCCAGCTGTCTCGCGTTCCGCTCCGGTGCCGTTACCGCGACGGCACAAAAGCACAAGGATATCGATAAAACGGACGGCGATATAAATAACGCGAATGTATCCGTGATTAGTAAGCCGGACGGAGAGAGAGAGAGAGAGAGAGAGAGAGAGAGAAAGGGTAAGAGGGAAAGAAAACCTGATCGCCGCCTAACGGACGGTGCATCGAAAAGAAAGAAAGAAAGAAAGAAGCTTTGGTGGAACGGCATTGCATGTTGTTCCTGTAATCATCGTCTTACAGCTTCGGGTTTCTTCGTTCGCTAGTCGTTGTCCTAGAATACTCCTGACCGATTCTCTTTGTCGTTTTATTTTTACAAACATTTTTCTCTTTCCTTTTCTTTTCTTTTCTTTTTTATTCTTATATCGATAATTCAAGAACGCGAAGAGTATAGGTATTAATAGAATGCTTATAGTAGAAATTGTAGAAATCGAAAGAGAGAGAGAGAGAGAAAAGGAGTGAGAGGGGGAGAGATGTGGGAGAAAGAGAAAAGCAATAAAATCAATCCACAAAGTCTCGACACGCGAAAACAATGAACAAGAGCTTTGGAACACTTAGCATATATACGAGAGAAAACTGTCTCTCGCTTTTTTCTATGCAATCCTGACGTGTTTTCTCTACCTCGAGTTTGTAAGATACAGAGAGAGAAAGAGAGAGAGAGAGAGAAAGAATGAGCTAATAAAGAATAACAGGAGAAAAATAAGGAATATAGA